TGGTAAGATTAAGAAAGGTCAAGTATTCCGACTTCTTAGAGTTGGTAAAATATCACTAATTTACTTAGGTAGGCAGTGGGTAGACATTGCAATATATGGGGCAAGGCACAACATATAGCTTGTGGTCTGTTGACTGACAGCAGCTAATTTCATTTTTAAAAACAATGAAAGTGTTTGACCTTATGTTCACTCCCTCTCACTTACTTAAAAAAATTTTTTTCTTAAGTTTACTTACTTATTTTTGAGAGGGGGGGTGGGGAGAGAATCCCAAGCGGGCTCCACAGTGTCAGCAAGGAGCCCGATGCAGGGCTCAAACCCACAAACCATGAGATACCAAGAGTCAGGCGCTTAATTGGCTGAGCCACCCAGGTGCCCCTCCCTCTCACTTATTTAAAAAAAAAAAATTTTTTTTAATGTTTATTTAGTTTTGAGAAAGAGAGAGAGAGACAGAACTTGAGTGGGGAAGGGGCAGAGAGAGAGGGAGACACAGAATCTGAAGCAGGCTCCAGCCTCTGAGCTGTCAGCACAGAGCCTGACGTGGGGCTGAACCCACCGACCATGAGATCATGACCCAAGCCGAAGTCGGATGCTTAACCAACTGAGCCACCCAGGTGCCCCCCTTCCCTCTCACTGATTGCAATGACTTATGCAGGACCTGTTGACCCAGTGTTGGGTATGACCAACTATTAAGCTAGAGGTCAGGAGACCAATTTTGCTTTCTCATTACATTCACAAAGCTAGGGAACTTTCTTAAGTATGTGTTCGTGGCCCTGTCTGGTACTATATAAATAAATAATAAGTTTATACTACACTTCATAGGAATCCAGTGAGTGGTATTCTAAGAAATAGGAAGTTTGGGGACCAAAATAATTCCCAACTTTTAAAGATATATAATGAATAAAGAGTTTGAAAGATTTGGGGAATTCTTGAGAATCCAGAGAATGATTTCCTTATTTGTGAATCTGTCAGGAATTCAGAAACACTAGTTCTAGATCAAATTTATGCCTTTGCCTGGAATTTCAACCCACTTGTATAGTGGGTTTTAGTATTTTCAGCAACAGTTCCGTGAAGGGCCACGAGGTGGAGGTGGTGCTTCATGGAAGTAGCTGGTTTGGTCTCTGAGGAAGAAGTATCGTACTTTGCTTTTTATAGCAGGAAAGTTTTAGTTCTCTTTGCTGAACAAGGAAATTTCAAAAATGTCCATACACCCAGCCTATGTCTTCTAAATATTTAAGGGAGAAATAGTACTACACAAAACTCTTCTTGGAAACAGAAGAGGAAGAATTCACTGGTAAAGCCATTTGGGGCTATAGTTTTCTTTGTTGGAAGTTCTTTTAACTACAAGTTGTATTTCTTTAGTAGGTAAAAATACTTATTCAGGTGATCTGTTTTTACCTGAGTGACCTTTGGTAGTTTGTGTCTATCAAAGAATTTCTTATCTCATTTATCTTCTTAATTTCATGAGCATAAAGTTATTATTTTAATGTCTGTAGAATCTGTTGTGATGTCCCGTTTTATTCCTGATATTAGTAATTTTGTTCTCTTTTTCCTTAGTCTCCTTTGAAGCTTTTCAATTTTATTGATGTTTTTAAAGAACTAACTTCTTGTGTCACTGATTTCTTTTTCTGTTGTTTCCTGCAAATTTTATTTTTGTTCTGTATTTCCTTTCTTTTATTTGCTTTAAGTTTATTTACTCTTTTTTCTGGTTTCTTAAAATAGATGCTTAGATCATTGAGACCTTTTACTTCTCTAATGTAAGCATATAATGGTATAAATTTCCCTGTAAGCACTGCTATAGCCACATCTCCCAAATTTTGATATGTTGAATTTTTATTTTCATTCAATTTAGAATGTTTCATTAATTTTGGAAAAATTTCTGCCATTTTCTCTTAATGCATTGTCTGTCCTTTGTTATTCTTGCTATCTGTGGCAGTCTGTTTGACACCAGTGGAACTATTACCATTTATCCCCTTATATTTTAACTGCTTTTTAATGATATTCATTTTTCTATTTCTTTAATATTCTGTTTAATTTCCTTAGTTCTGTCTTTAAGTTTGCTAACCTCTTTTCCAACTTTGCTTAAATCTATTAATATTTTAATTTTAATGACTATATCTTTCATTTCTGGAAAGTCTGTTTAGTAATTTTTTAAGTTTCCTTTCTCATATTAAACAGGTCCTTATTTTAATTTATGAAAAAATCATGGTATTGTCCTTCTATTTGTGTATTTCACTTGACTCATTTCAGTGGATTGCCTGCCTTTTTTGTTTTGTAAATTTTAATTAGAACACACCTTTCTAAGAATCTTTTTCTGCCTCATCTACCCCTCCCCTGAAAAAAATCCATCCCCCCCTGTGATAATTTATGACCTGGATTGTGGAAGCTTCCCTCCAGAGAAGCTTTTTTTTTTTTTTTTTATGTTTTAAGAGTATTCACAAGCACTTCTATATCTGCTCTAAAGTCTTTGTTAGTTAGATACTTCCAGCATCTCATTCATTTCAGCATTGATGTTTGTTGATTGTCTTTTCCTAGGTCTTCATATGCTGAACTCATTTTGGATTGTATCCTGGATTCTTTTTTTTCTTTTTTAATTTGAAAGAGAGAGAGAGAGAGAGAGGAAACATGAGCAAGTGGGAGAGAGGGGCAGAGGGAGAGGGAAAGAGAGTCTTAAGCAGGCTCCACACTGGGCTCCCAACACAGGGCTCCATCCCATGACTCTGGGATCATGACCTGAGCCAAAATCAAGAGTCAGACACTCAACTGACTGAGTCACCCAGGCACCCCGTATCCTGGATATTTTTAATATGTTATGAGATTCTGGATCTTATTTAAATCTGACAGTTTGGGGCACCTGGGTAGCTCAGTCAGTTAAGCGTCTGACTTAGCTCAGGTCATGATCTCACGGTTTGTTAGTTTGAGCCCTGTATCGAGCTCTGTGCTGACAGTTCGGAGCCTACAGCCTGCTTCAGATTCTGTGTCTCCCTCTCTCTGCCCCTCCCTCGTTCCCTCTCTCTCTCAAACATAAATAAACATTAAAAAAATTGTTTTTAATGTTAAATCTAACAGTTTGGTGGTACTTCAAATTCTGGTCTACACCAGTATACCTGTTCCTATTTACTTTTCAGTACCCTTAAAGAGCTGCTTCATGGATTCTGTCCAGGTTTTATAGCTTCATTTAGTGGGAAAGATGGAATGGAATGTGCTTATTACTCCATCTTACCTAGAACCTTTACTCCAGAAGATTTTCCATTTGCTTTATTCAAATAGCACTAGCTCCTGACCAATTTTTATATTAATTTCCTGAGACTTAAACCTCAACTTTAAATCCCAAACCTAAATTAGGCACATAGGCCTTAGTTTGAATTCTGAGATCAGCTGAGCCCAGCAGAAACAGACAGGAGACTGTATTCCTATACCAGTAGGCAGACTTTTTCTAGTCCATTCTTTCAATAAGAATTTTAGCTTTATGCAGGGAAATAAGTTTTAGTCATTCAACTCCCTTTCTGTGGTGGGTCCAAGGGAATATTAAAGATGTTCACATCTAAATCTTGGGTTTCTGTGGCATCTGACCTGTTAGTTTTCCTTACCTGTTTGTTTTGGTACCTGTGTATTTCTCTTCTTTTTTTTTTTTTTTTTTTTAACATTCATTTATTTTTGAAAGGGAGATACAGTGCAAGTGGGGGAGGGGCAGAGAGAGGGAGACACAGAATCTGAAGCAGGCTCCAGGCTGTGAGCTGTCAGCTCAGAGTCGATGTGGGGCCCGAACCCACAAGCCGTGAGATAATGACCTGACCTGAATTTGGAGGCTTAACCAACTGAGCCACTCAGGCACCTCTCTCCTCTTTCTTTTAAATGGGCTGTTCATTAACATATATTTTTTTTATATTTTCTTTAGCATGTATAGGGGTTTATAGCAGGAAGATTTCCAGATTTTCTTGGTCACTATCTTGTTGAAAGAGAAGCACTTTCTTTTTTTTTTTTTTTTTTTCAACGTTTATTTATTTTTGGGGGACAGAGAGAAACAGAGCATGAACGGAGGAAGGGCAGAGAGAGAGGGAGACACAGAATCGGAAACAGGCTCCAGGCTCTGAGCCATCAGCCCAGAGCCCGACGCGGGGCTCGAACTCACAGACTGCGAGATCGTGACCTGGCTGAAGTCGGACGCTTAACCGACTGCGCCACCCAGGCGCCCCAAGAGAAGCACTTTCTATAGAATTCTTCTTTTTCTTTTTTCTTGTTTTAAGTTTATTTATTTATTTATTTTGAGACAGAGAAAGGGAGAGCACAAGTAGGGGAGGGGGTAGAGAGAGGAAGAGAGAGAATCCCAAGCAGGCTCCACACTGTCAGCTCAGAGCCCAACAGGGTGCTCAAACTCACAAATTGTGAGATTATGACCTGGACTGAAATCAAGAGTCAGATGCCTAACTGACTAAGCCCCCTGGGTGCACTTAGAATATTTCGTTTAAGAGTCAGTTGATGTATGTAAAAACAAAATTGGAGGCCGAAATGGGATCGTAACTCATTTATTGCTAAGAGTTTTTGGAATTTCTTATATACACGCATATGTGTAAGTTTAACCATGTATTTATATAACATTTATATGTTTTAGGCTAGAAACGATTACATCCATATTGAATCAGGATTAAAAGTTTCTATTATCTCTTATGACTCGAAAAAACTGTTTGCTTTGGAAAAAATATTCTCAATATAATGAAATTAACAGTGGTTTCAAATTACTACTTGCAGATACTTTCCACTACTTGTGGAAAGGGCAATTTTAATCTTTGAGAACAAAAATAAAACCACTGCTCTAAATAACTAATGAGAACTGAGGTTTGTGTGGTTACTTTTTTATTTGTTTTGTTTGGTGTCTTCCACTGTCTTGGGATCTAGGGTAAAATTCAGTAGGAATCTCAGTTTAGTGGGCGAGGAGACTTTGTTTTCCTTTCACTAGCAGTGGTTTCATTTCAGAAACATGTTCTCCCCTTCTTTCATGCCAGGAATGAGCAGTGACAGTGATATTGAATGTGACACTGAGAATGAGGAGCAGGAAGAGCACACCAGCATGGGAGGATTTAACGACTCTTTCATGGCACAGCCCCCAGATGAAGGTGCGGCACATGGTCTCATTTCACAGAGATTAATAAAACCGTCTCTTCTGCTGCTATTGCTGCTGCTTCTTTTGCTTCTGCTGCTGCTTCTCTGCTGTTTCTACTTCTTTTTCTTTTTTAATTATTGTCTTTTGTGAAACAATATTCTATGGGGTAAACTAAATGGTGAGTACTGAAAAAATGTGCTAGGTACTGTTTGGTCAGATACCTGCTGGATACTACTTAATGGAGCGGGCTCAGCAACCTACTCTAGTGTATAGCCTGTAACCTAAGAATAGCATTTATGTTGTACAGAGCTTTTAAAAACAAAAACAAAACTGAGAAGACTTTTCCATAGAGGCAGTCTGTAGCCTACAATACCTAAATATTTTCTATCTGTTCTTTTATAATAAGAAAATGCTTATCAACCCCTGGGGAGGGTTCAGATGTTATTAGATGTTAGGAGCCTAGCTTAATAAGGAAACTTTTTAAAAGATTTTTTTTCTGACTTCTTAGAAATGCATTTAGTTTATGGAAGCATCATTTTTTAAATTTCCTCTTCCTCCCAAAATAGTTTTAGGAATAAAACCCACTGAGATAAAGTCATTGTTAGTATTTTTGTTTTGTTTTAGGAGTACCACATAATGATTTGGGAGTATGTATGTATTGGGAAATGATTAACAGTAAGTTTAGTTAACATCCGTCACCCATTACTAATATTTTATCCAGAGACTTTTAATGATCAGTCTTAGCATTCCTCTGCAAGATTTCCTGGAATGGCAACATTGTTAGGCTTATGTCAGTTTTCGGCATTACAATTTTACAGATTTCCCTGAAGTTCTAGGTTTTTTTTTGTTTTTTGTTTTTTGTTTCCAAAATAGAGCTGAGAAGTTGATGGTTTTTAGGTATTATGACACTGTTAGTAATTTTCTTTTTCTGAAAGAAGCAGCTAGATTTTGGGCACGTTATTTTGAGTGCTGATGGATTTTTTAGTGATATTTGCATGTGCAATTTAATTTGCCTTAAGATACATTTTAATGTTTACAAAGTCTTCAAAGTATATACATCATCATCATTTCCTGTTCCTTTCTTCAAGCTGCTCCCACAGTGTCCCCAGGAGAACAAAGTTAGGCAGTGACTTTCATCTTCTAATTATGGGTATTACACATTTTACTTTTTCTTGTTTTTTTTTTCCCTTTGTGCTTGCTTATACCTGATTCAGATAACAAATCTTCTATGAAGACAGAGGTTTGTCTACAACCCACTAATCTTTATCACTTAACTAACATGCTTAGGAAGATCACTTAAAGACATGGAAAAGAAAATACTGGTCTTTAAAAACTGTTATCTGCTTTTAATTTTTTATCTTAGATACGCATTCCAGTTTTCCTGATGGTGAACAAATAGGCCCTGAAGACCTCAGCTTTAATACTGATGGAAACAGCGGAAGGTAATTTTCAAATCCAGAGAACTGACTTGCAAGCTACCTTGACCCTGAGATTTGCTGTAGTTGGTGCTCAATTTGTCATCGGTCAGATAATCAGATTTGGTCTTATTTTTTTTCATCATCTCTACCTGAAATAGTATTTCTGAAACTTTAGAAAGTAGCTCAATTGTAGTATATGACATTAGAACACAGGACAAAATTAGCAGTGTGGGAAGAATTTTGTGTAATGTAATGAATTAACAGTGTAGTCCTCAATTAATTTAGTAAATCAGTATATTCCTAAAAGGCAGTTTGTCTCCTGCAATAGAAAGGTGGTTAACTGCCGGACAGTGTACGTAGAGACCGTGCATGCGCTCAGTAACTTGCTCAGTCTCGGTACTCCTCTATCCTTGGCTAGATTCTCAGTTGTGTTTAAATGACCACCTTTATAGTTTGGGTTTTAATCGTAGTTTATAGCTTCATTAATGCCTGTAAATTAAGGAAGAGAAAAATTACTTATGTATAGATTCTGGCCTGTAGATACTTTATGTGAATAAATAAAGCAAAAGTAGACCGAATCTCCTCTTTGGAGTATGTTGGCTGACTACAAGTTAATTTATTTATCTTTTCTTGTTTGTTCAGGTGTAGACACACTGATTAATGGCATAATCTTTCTATTATATGACTTTTACATACAGAATTTTAAATGAGTTAAGTTCATGTGAATTGGTCATGTTCCATATGAACACACGGAAGATCATTTACAATTATTTCAGTTTTTCCTGCCTTTTATTAAACAGCTGTAGTGCAACAAGTATTTTACAGCCCTCTTGTCTCTTTTATTTTCATTAGTTGGACATTGTTTCCAATGTCAATATGTTTAAAGATTCCTACACATTGCACAGTGGTTTACATGAAACTGTGGTATAATGTTTACTTTCATACTTAATTAGCCCAACATAATTGCCAAACTTTCCATTGTGCTCCTGGATTTGTGTTTGAGCTGCTATAGCATTTGTGAAAAAATACACTGAAAGTTGGTAAGAGACTATTGAAGAAGCATGAATATAATACATGTGAGAGGCACCTCCTCTACTTATATTTTACTTAATGAAGATTGTTTGCTTTTCCATGTCTACTGTCTTGCCCAATTCTGTGATTCATGGTTGGCTTTTGTTCAAAACAGGTCGCACTTTTTGTTAATAAAATGAACTTGAGAAAATATTATGCCTCTGCAATTTATTAAAAGTGGGACAGGAGGGGCGCCTGGGTGGCGCAGTCGGTTAAGCGTCCGACTTCAGCCAGGTCACGATCTCGAGGTCCGGGAGTTCGAGCCCCGCGTCGGGCTCTGGGCTGATGGCTCAGAGCCTGGAGCCTGTTTCCGATTCTGTGTCTCCCTCTCTCTCTGCCCCTCCCCTGTTCATGCTCTGTCTCTCTCTGTCGCAAAAATAAATAAACGTTGAAAAAAAAAAATTAAAAAAAAAAAAAGTGGGACAGGAAGCCCCCCACCCTTTTTTTTCCTATTCACATTGCCTGTGTACAGTTGAGGCTGTTAAGCTCTATAGACTGTTAGTAGTAAATGCATGAGGAAATTAACACTTATATTTTATACTCTTACACTCTTGGTAATATATATGGTTGCTTTTTCTCCTTAAAAGCTAGTTGGAGGGGCGCCTGGGTGGCTCAGTTAAGCATCTGACTTCAGCTCAGGTCATGATCTCACGGTTCATGAGTTTGAGCCCCACGTCAGGCCCAGTGCTGACAGCTCGGAGCCTGGAGCCTGCTTCAGATTCTGTGTTTCCTTCTCTCTCTCTGCCCCTTCCCCATTCATGCTCTGTCTCTCTCTCTCTCTCTCTCAAAAATAAATAAACATTAAAAAAAATTTTTAAAGTTAGTTGGAAATATTTAAGTACTATAATCATATGAGAAGTAAAAATTTAGCATTCACTTACTAACATGATAGTGTTGGTGTAGTGTCATGTAGTTATTAGGTAGTTTATCATGCAGTGCTCTAAAACATAACTAATACATTCTTTAACACATTTCAGTATCTCTTAGAAATGTTTTTCAGTTTATCACATTTTGTTGACATTTTTTTAATCCGACTTTTTGTTAACCTCTATACTGCATTGTAATAGATGAAGGTATAAAGCAACAATTTTGCACCGTTAGTGTTGAGGGCAAACCATTGTACAGATTGATTAGTAGATTTTTTTTTTTAATGAGGTTCATTAGTTGGAACCCGCAAACACAAATATGTTTGACTACTTTGAATCTCTCACTGTTAGCAGCTCTTTCTTCACTTTTATTTGATATAGAACTCAGTGCTTTCCTGTGTATCTTTGTAATTTTATTTATTTTTAAAATATGGGAAACTGCATGTGGTTAAGAACTAAGAGAAGCCTGAGAGTAGACTGCTCATTTGGGAAAATTTACTTGTAAAGCTTCTAGCACACATGATTTAATCATGAGATTCTCTTAGGTCATTAATCTACAGGGTAGCATTTGAGGTATCTCTCTTTCATTTATTGGGAGGATGTATACTTTTTTTTTTTTTAAGTAGGCTTCATGCCCATTGCAGAGCCTAAAGTGAGGCTTGAACTCACAACCCTGAGATCAAGACCTGAGCTGAGAACAAAAGCCAGATGTCTAATTTACTGAAGCACCCAGGCGTCTGGATATACTTTTTAAAATCATAGATGTTCTTAACCTTTGCTCTTAATTTTCATGACCTTGCAGTTTTTTTAGTGAGTGGATTCCCTAGAATAACATAGTGATATTTGGATCATGGTACATTTTTGTCTTAAGTATTTTTCTAGCTCTTCTGATGCTTTCAGGCTATGCATAAAAACAATCAGGAGTGCTCTCCATATTTTCGATGAGTTGAGAGCTGGTTTAGACCATTTTATTTAAAAAAAATTTTTTTTTAATTTATATTTTGAGAGAGAGTGCAGGTGCTAGTGGGGGAGGGGCAGAGAGAGGGAGAGAGAGAATCTCAAGCAGAGCCTCACGTGGGGCTCGATCTCACAAACCCAAAGATCATGATCTGAGCTGAAGTTGAGTTAGATGCTCAGCTCACTGAGCCACCCAGGTTCCCCATAATTTTTTTTTCTTTTTTTTTCCTTTTTTTTTAAAATATGGGGCTTCAACTCATGACCCTGTGATCAAGATCTGAACTGAGATCAAGAGTCAGACACTTGAGGTGCCTGGGTGGCTCAGTTGGTTAAGTGTCCAGTTCTTGATTTCTGCTTAGGTCATGATCTCACAGTTCGCGGGATCAAGCCCTGCATCAGGCTCCACAGCTGGTGGCACAAAGCCTGCACGGGATTTGCTCTCTCCCTATCTCTCTGCCCCTATCCCACTCATGCTGTCTCTTTCTGAAAAAAAAAAAAAAAAAAAAAAAAAAGAGTCAGGGTGTTTGGGTGGCTCAGTCAGTTAAGCATCTGACTTCAACTCAGGTCATGATCTCGTGGTTTGTGAGTTTGAGCCCCAGGTCGGGCTCTGTGCTGACAGCTCAGAGCCTGGAGCCTGCTTCAGATTCTGCGTCTCCCTCTCTCTGCCCCTACCCCACTCGCACTGTGTCACTCTCAAAAGTAAACATTGGAAGAGGAAAAAACGTCAGATATTTAACCCACTGAGCCACCCGGGCAACTGAAACCCTTTTAAATTAGTAGGATTTCAGTTTACTTTGGTAGCAAGATTATTTTCGGTTGTTACAGCTGTAGGAAAATTGGAAAGTATTTGGTTCTTTACACTTGCACAAAAACTTTGTAGGGAAAATATTTGAGCTTAATTGTTGTATTCTCATGTATTTTAGGAAGCAAACTTATTCGTATATTCTGAGTCCATATTTAAGAATAAAGTCTATCTCTTGAAAAGCAAAAAATGCAAGGTTCTAAAGAAATGATATTGAACCTGCCCTCCTGGTATAAAATTCTCTGTTTTGTAATTAAAGTCGGAAACATGTTGTACCAAAAACCAAGAACAAACTGGTAGGTAACTAAAGGACAGAATGAGTACTCAAAAACAGTTCCATTATGGTGAAGAAAATGATGCCTATTTTGTTGGGCTCCAGTTCACTTCAAGTAATTTTGTTTGTGAATTATAAAATGGTAAGAAATAGGCAGCATATATAAATTTTCAGTCCATTGAGAAAAATGGGATTCAGTTAACAAGTGTCTGCCATTCTCTCTAGGTAGACAACTACCGTCCTTGAGCCAAATCCCTACGGCTGTTTATTTTTGGAAACAAAGTGGTTTTGGAACATATTAATATCCATTCATTTATAGTTTGTCAGTGACTGCTTTTGCTGTACAAAGGCAGACCTGAGTAGCCGCTAAGGAAACCTGTTGGCTCCAGAGCCTCAAATATTTACTCTCACACCCTTTACAGATAACAATTGCTGGCTTCTGCTCTGTTGATATTAATGGGAACTTCATGGTTTTTTTAGTATAGAACGTTTCGGTTTGAAAAAGCATGATTTTTAAGTCAAAAAGGTGAACATTTGATTAGTTTTGTGTTTACTTTTATATGGGGTACTGTCCTGTTCTAGAATCATAAGAAGGCTGAAAGGGGCACCTGGGTGGCTCAGTTGGTTTAAACATCTAACTCTTGGTCTCGGCTCCAGTTATGATCTAATAATGGTTTATGAATCCGAGCGCCACTTCACGCTTTGCGCCGTCAGTGCAGAGTCTGCTTGGGATGCTCTCTCATTCCATTGCTCTTGAAGACCAAACGATTTCAAAGGTGAAGGACCTGTTAGCATTTAGTAGTGCTGGATGTTTTTTGTTTTTTTTTTTAAATGTTTGTTTATTTTTGAGAGAATATGAGCGGGGGAGGTGCAGAGATGGTGGGAGACACAGAAATGGAAGCAGGCTCCAGCCTCTGAGCTATCAGCATAGAGCCTGACACAGGGCTCGAACTCACCAACCACAAGATCATGACCTGAGCCAAAATCAGACGCTTAACCACCTGAGCCTTCCAGGCACCCCAGTAGTGGGATCTTTGAAAAATATAATTACTTTCCCAAATTCTAGTCATGTTATATATAGTAAGTCTGCACTGAATTCCTCAGTGGTGCCAGGAAATCTTCCCTCTTCCTTGGGGTGATATGCCTGCTTTGGCTATGCTAGACTTTAGGTAGCAGTAAGAGGAGGAGAAGGCATAGGAGAAGGTACCAGTTCCTTTTCCCTCTCTGCATTGGTTGTTCATGATCTGGTCTGCAAGAGCAGACCCCCCTTTCACTCCCATTCTCCTACATGTAGCTGTCATCACCTACAGTCTGTGCAAATCATGAGTAGTGGACATAAATTTCCAATGAGTTCCTCTACTGTGCTTCTACTTTCTGGCACTTTGTGTATCTTTTAAGTCTTTTCCTTCCACCATTACCTTGTTTCACTATTTTTTTTTTTAAGTAAACTCTACCACCAACTTGGGGCTTGAACTCATGACCCCAGATCAAGAATCCCTTGCTCTACCATATGAGCTAGCAAGTGCCCCCAGTATTAGTATTAGTATTTTTATTTCGTGTTTCTTTCCTAGAAAATTTCTTCTTAATGAATGTTTTCTCTTAAGCCAAAGGATATAGCAGTTAATGCTTGCAGTGTGCACAAACGTGGTTTCTGGACAGCTTTGACCAACTGTGTCATTGAATCCTTAAGTAACCTTTGAGGTAGATGATTTGTGTGTCCTACCCATTTGTCAGAGAAACATGCAGTTTAGGGAGGTTAGGTGATTCTCTGAAGGTTCCACACCACTGGCAAGGATGGAATGAATTGCTGGTCTGGTACTTTTTTTAGTTCTTCACACTTGAACCAAATCCAGCATTTTTATACCTAATAATTTTAAAGCTCCAGATTTTCCTCTTTTTTTAACTTTTTATTTTGAGGTAATTTTAGATTTACAAAGAGATACAAAAGTCCTGACAGAGTTCCCATATACCCATCATGCAGCTTACTCAGCTTCTGCTTTTGTTAACATCTTCTATAACTGTAGAATAGTACTCAAAACTAGGAAATTAGTCTTGTTTACAGTACTGTTAACTACAGAATTTATTCAGATTTCACCAGTTAATTTATTTTTTAATGTTTATTTTGGGAGAGAAAATGCACACATGTGAGCAGGGAGGTGAAGGGCAGAGATAAAGGGAGAGAGAGAATCCCAAGCGGCTCTGTGCTATCAGCGCAGAGCCCGAAGCAGGGCTCGATCCCACAAACCACGAGATC